TCTGCACCGGATGTTCGGCTGGTGGAGTTCAATGCCCTCGATTGGGCCATTAGAATAGCGATACATTCATTATAAATACGTGACTAAAATTCAAATACTCATTCATTTATACAACACATATACTAAAGCTAAAAAACAATACATTGTATAGAATTATTTATTTTTTCATTAATATATAATAGTACTTCTCTATAAAACCGCTATTCTAATGGCCACACACGTCAAGAATTGGCGCACAAGTTTAGTGGACCGTCTAGTGCACTCGCAATAATAAACACACTACTTACGAAATACGGAAACATCTTGGAGATAGAAAATAATTTAACAATATATTATACAAACAATTGTATGACGTTGAATGACGACTTCATATAAAATAAATACGATGACATTTAAATACATATGCATAAACTTTTACACACACACACACACACACACATACACACACGCATACATACATATTTATAACATGATTCTAGTACTACTGTCCCCTTCTAGTACAACTGAACCCTTAAGGTTCAAAAACACAACTAAGCGGCTTCAAACCAATATCTGCTTCAACTCCTCAATATATATATATTAAATTTTGACATACTCTTCCATCACAATAATCTAAATCTGTTTCATCTGAAACATCACGTATTTCTGTAGATTATACCATACCAAAGCTTTCAAGTACAAAATACATATAAACTATTATACAACGAAGTTTATTTACTAAGAAACCAAATAAGTATCCCAAAAAACCCGTCTCAATTGCACTTACTTTATAAATAATAATCACTCCATTGATTCCCATGATGGTAAATGCCCCAAATAAATGAACCCGGATGTGGTCAGCTACCGTTATAATTCATAGCTAAAAAATATATACAAGCATATATAAGTGTGAACAAATCACACCTGCTTATATGAATCACACTGAACAATGTGATCACACAGTGCTTTCGCTGAGAAGTAAGTTGAATCACTTCTATTATAATCTATTAAATTTAAATGAAGATAACATTTTTTAAACTTAAATTATTGATTAATCTTTATTAATATTAAAAAACTCATTTGATTTGAAATGTTTTTTTAATTAAACTAAAATTAATATTATTTCTATAATGGTATAAAAATTTCTCATTTTGTCTGCCCATGCTCACGGTTCCTGCAAAGTAACCGAAACTTCGGGAGTTTGTGATTTAAAATAATAAAAAAATCACGTAGAAAATCCGACAATATTAGTTTTATTTAAATATTAATAGCAAAACAAACTTATAATAAAAATAAAATCAGAATTAAGTAAGAAAATTTATATTTAAAAAGGGTAAATAAAGTAAGTAATTATAATTTAATATGTTCAGATAACTCTTGATTTCAAGCTTCTATTTATAGATAGATAGCTAGATAGGTAGATAGATAGATTTCACGAGGTCTAACCAGCGTCTGGACCCGGCTCCCATCTATAAAACACGACAAACGAGTTTCATATCCGGGACAATTTAACTAAATGTAGAACAAAACGGTTGGTCGAAATACACGAACCGGACCCAGGATATCCCTGAACAGATTGTTCAATACACGACAGGTGTAAATACACCAATAATATATAGTCTAAAAAACATTCTCGCTTTTAGTTCTTATAACTTACAACGAAGACAAGAAATAAATATACATATGTATGTATATACTTATGATGCTCTTCCGACATCTAGATCGGTACGCCAGAAAATTAAGAAATCGATGGCGGTAGATAAATAACAAGACCAACGGACAGACATTCACATCTCGTCTGCCCGTGATCACGGTTGATGAAAATGGCCGAAACGTCGAGAGTATGTATTTTTTATTAAAAATAAAATCGCGTAGTGTATCCGTAAAATATTATTTTTATTTAAATGACTCGCGAAAATCTCAAATATCATTATGAGACGAAACGAAACCTCTTAGCATTCAATGGATTCACCGTGCGGGTGCCGGGTCCATCGCGTTGCAGGGAGAGGAGCTTCAACAGTATATATTCTCATATAGATATTGTAATTTTCCCGTTAAATGTTCGTTACACAAGTTATATAGTTCAATGTAAAAGAAAGTATTGATTACACGTGAAGTATTTTCGGTAAAAGTAACATGAATCCAAACAATACCTGTTTTATATACGAAAAGTTGAAAATCATTTTTAAGCACAGTCATAATTGGCCCACATTAAAACATCGGACCAGTTAGCTCTTACAAGATATTCGGTTACCGCGTGATTATAAAAAAAACTTGTAGATGTTAATTTTACTTATTACGGTTACACGGTTAAATCGGTGACAATAACTAAAATTCCATGATTTTACGATTTAATATATTTCATTATGTCTAGAATTTTCTCCATAAAACGTATAATAAAGCTATCTTAAGATATAATAGTTTTGAATTCATCTCTACAAAACATCTTAATCATGAAGTTAAAGTGATTGTCTTATTAAAATAAGTACAATTCAAATATCCAGATTATCATAAATGTGGATTTAGTTAATTGAAAGGGGATCCGATATTATCTGACTATACAAGATTCAAATGTAAATAACCGAACCGTAACTAATAAAACCGAACCGAACCAACTACGTTTAAATCCTTCATTATAAAATACATAAAATGTATTATTATAATTATTCATGTACATAATAATATAATACAAGAACACGTTTATTAAATAAATAATGCGGAAGCGAAGAAATGGCAACATTTATCATAATATATATAATTATATGTTAATGTTATGTTATCAGTCAATCGTTCATAACAACGGTCTAGACTATGATTGTTTGTGTTTAACATACCGTATGCTAATGGGATTAAGAAAAATTAATATTTAACACAGATTAAAATATGTATTATAATTAGAAATTAATTTATAGATTAAAATACCGACTTTGGCTGTACACAGATGGTTCGTTTCACCAATGACAGCTAACGTCATTGTACTTTTTTAATTTCTAAATGTCAAAATGAAGACAGTCCAGAATGTATGATGATAATTATAATTCGTACCACACTTAATTGATCTTACGCGAACAGTTAACTGTACTCAAACTTGCTACAGTTTCGGACGGGTTTTTAATTGCCGGCCGCGTTACATCGACACAAAATAATCATGCGCTCTTGATTCTCTTATTTTTTTTTATTCATTTTTTATCTTTTAATCACAACAGCATTGGTTTTTAAATTTGGAACACTTTTTGGTAACGCGGAAGCTTTTTTCTTGTAATTGACACATGACCTACAAAACTGCGGAATTTATTTAAAAATCTTTAAACTACAAGTGTAACAGATGTATAAATATATATTGAAATATTTTAAGGACTTCTAGTGACCTTGAAATTAAGAAAAAATCTGCAATTAACATTATTTAAAGACATTGATTTTGTATACTTTGAAATAAAAAATCAAGTTCCACTTTTAGTTCAAGAACATTCAAATATGTATATTGAGGTAGGTTCGTGAGATAAAGTAAAAAATCATGAAAAATCCTCCTTTTATTAACTAAATTATTTATTTTAATTAAAATATACGTTAATGAGAAGTTACATTTAGAATTAGTAACTTATAATAAATTAAAATTATTCTTAAATAAACAACTGAAGCTGGCTGACAAACAGAATGAAATGGAAATTACCAAGAAAAATAATCTTCAATATGTATAACTCATTAAAGCTAATATATTGTAATATATTATAATGTATATATTAAGTATGTTTAAGTCTCTACAAAACATGCTCAGACGTTTCCTATAATAACAATTTATTACATAAAATACAGAAGCCATAATATGTCCGTACGTTTATATTTGCTTAATGATTTATATAGAGATGCATACTGAGTTATACTTATTTTGTAATAAGTCATAATATATTTTAAATTTCACTGTCACTTTCTCTGTCATAGTTTACGTCAATATAACTATTTTATTTTCTTACGCCACAACACTTAAATGATATAAAAATGACAGGTTCAATATATGTGACAGTAAGTGTCAAATGTCATGTGACAGGAGCTGTCAAATGTCACGTATGACAATAAAATTATTAACTAATTACTGCACGGATAAAGGCCATATTATAAAATTAAAAAATTAACTTATTAGTCAAAACTGATTAGTGTTTGTTAATTTTAATCTCATTATACATAGATTAGATAAGTTGAAACTTGAATTTGAATTCAACATAAATGTTTTTGTCAGATAAACAAATTTAATTCTTCACAGAGTTATATAACGCAGTGGTATGAACGCATCATGCAAATACCGTAGATCCATATCGCAGCTAAAATTCACGAAACTCGTATAAACAAATTGAAATCCGACTAGAACTATTCGTATAAGTGATTTTGAAAATGTTAATTAAGTAGAAGTTTGATTTTAATTTAACTTCAGTTGGGGCTCAACTATCAAATTTGCAATTCGATCAACGCGGATCCATTTTGAAAATGCAAAACAGGTTTCCTTAAAGCTTTGATGAAAAGCGTGTAGGCTTCGCTTTAACACTAAACTTCTGTTTTGATGAGATTTCGCTTGGAAAAATACCGAATATATTTCGATCGGCAGCCATGTTTGAAAGTTGAAACATTCGAAGTATTAAAACCTTTTTAGATGATAAATTACATTTGACGTTTAACTTTATTTGCATTCTAGACATAGGAGACGAATTATAATACAATTTTATAACAACACTAGCTGACCCGACAAACGTTATTTTGCCATATAAAAAATTAGGGGTTCCTAATAAAAAAAAGTAATAATTTAGGGTTGTATTGGTTTTGTTGTTGCCACAGTATAAAAAAAAATAAAATAAAAAAATTTTGTCCAAAAATTGAAAACATTTATATTAAAGGGTATAGCCCTTATCGCTTACTGAATACGTATATAAAATTTGGTAAAAATCGATATAGCCGTTTCGGAGGAGTACAGTAACAAACATTGCGACATGGAAATTTTATATAACAATATAAATAACATTTTCAGTTCCAAGATGTCTCAAAACTGCAAATCTACGTACACCACGGCTACAACGAGGGACGCGAATAACAACACCCTGTACCATGGAAGTGGGACCAATAGCTACGGTGGTAGAGGGTTCACGCCACCTAGCGTCACCAGCGGGAACTATCAGGTAATAAAACGATTCACTGAGAAGTGAATTGAATCCTAAACTATATTAACTCAAAGGTTAATTGCTCAAGCTGTGCAATTTATATCTAACGTATGTTGCGACATTTCACGAGACAAGCCAGTATCATAGCTCGCTGACATCTTAGCAAGGATTACGAACCAGAATAACTGTGAATTATTGAAGCCACGAGAAACATTGGTCAACACGCTCAGGGACAGATTGAAATGAAAGGAATATATATTAACTGAAAAATATATATATATGTAAATTATTAACTTAACTTAAGGTCGCGCGGAGACATTAAAATAAACTGTTTTTTTTTTATATATTTGTACATATTTTAATTACTTGTTACCGGTTTCAATAATTTTATATTTAGATCGAGAGCAGACGGTGAGTTGGAGATATTGAGATTTCTTTTAAATGATTTTAAAATACGAGTTAATAAAAAAATTAGGTAGTCGTTCTCCTATGAGATGTATATATGAGGTTAGGTAATATATAATGTAATTATGGAAGAATATGATGATCATTTTTTTTAATGACACTATCATACATATTGATAATTATATTTGGGTTTAATAATACAATATCCATTTGATTGTTATTTTAAAAAATACACTTCTTGCAAAAGAATTACAAACTAGTTTTATATAGTTCGTTTGTTTTTAGTACGAATAAATATACTAACTATTTGAAAAATTACAAAAATACATTTAACTTAATATATATAACATGTATAAAATAACAATGATTTGTTCGTATCTTGTCTCTGTATCCAAATCGGCTGGACCGATATTAATAAGTCGTTCACTGACAGATACGTGACGTAAAAGGAAATAACGGAGGCTAATATTATTTTAGGTATTCTATTAATTATAAATATAAATTATAATTATTCTATACCGTTTAACACACAGTTACTTTGTCAAGTTATAAAATTCTGATTAGATAAAAAACGTGTAGACAAAAACGTAAAGTTACAAAGAAAATATACATTCATGAGATTAAGATGAATAATCATTCGCTGGTATAAAAGTTTTAAACAAGGAAAAGGGCGAAAAAAATGTCGGTAACTTTATTATGGTAAAGTATTTATTGCACCCTCGGGAGAAATATAACTTGGGAATAAACGATACCATAAACTTATCGTGTGGGGGAACATTAAAATTAAACATATTTAAAAATGTTTATTATAAACTGCCTCAATAAACCCAAAAACCGGGCTAATGCACCTTTCTCTGCTGTTACCGAAATGCTCCAATTACACCAAGTTTCGGCGTTCCCGCTCAATTTATTTACTTGCTAAATAATTTTTCATTTACGTTATTTTTCATGAATGCTCTATATCGGAATCTGCCGCAGTTAACTCATCATCAGACCCTGACCCTTGCAATCACCATCAATGTTAAGTTTACGTACAATTTAGGGCAAATTTTCGCCAAAAAGCATTAGAGGGACAGTATTTTGGGTGTTTTACGAGCTACAGTAGGACCGTTTAAAGCACCAGCCTAATGACCGCACGACCTCTCATTGCTGAACACTTGCCAAGGTGGAAGATATCTTGCCTTTTTTTCAGTACCTCATACGTAGAGTGGCCATCATGAAATTTGTTATGGGGATAAAATAAATCTTTATTTAAATCAAATTCATGGACTATGTATGAATAAGAAACAATAAGTTAAAGATTAATTTTAAATCAATCAGATCTATGAGTATTCTCTTATACAATATTTCCTGATATCTTTGTAATGCTTTGTTGTATAATAAAGTAATTCTATACATTACACGAACATAGTGTACTTATCTCTTGGAACACAGTCTTCCAGCCAGCGAAAATTACATGCGAGTTATTTGTAACAATATAAAATTATAAATAACTTTTGGATATTGACAGTATAAATCAAATTCCTTTTCAAAATATGGCGAAAATATAATTTAATACATGTAAATCTAGCCAAATGCCAATTATACGTTTAAAATGTAAATATTTTAAGATAAAAAAAACACTATTTCACAACGCTATTTACCTTTCATTCACGAATAACCATTTAATAATGTCAAAATAATAACTAAAAATTACCTAAAATATTAAAGTAGATATTGTTTCAAGGGACTGTTTAAAATTCCGTCAATATTAAAAAATATTTCGTTTATATTAGATATCTTCCAGGACTGCATTTTTCTGCTATATTCGGCTAATAGTTCAGATGGATTGTACCTCGTGGACCCCCTAGCCACGTGCTAGCGCTTTTTAAAGACCAAATGTTTTTTCCCCTAACGAAATTGCCGTTCTTTGACCTATTTCCTAAATACCTAGATGGAATGAAATTCCACTGTTCAATTTCTAGTTATTCACTAAAATCGTGCTCACTCTAGATATTTTGGTATCCAATGCAATCTATGTAATAAGTATTTCGTTCCGGCATTACGTTCAAACTACGATGAATATTTCAACCTGTATTTACTTTAAAAATATATACTATAGAATAGAATTATATTCATGATCTTATTTGGTCGTGATTAATTATGCAGAAATTCACAATCAAGGCAAATCTTTCCATCTACGAAGATTCAGACTTCATCTTTTGATACATGTCTTGTAACTGTAAAATTTACTACAACTTTGTATGTAATTACTGTACCGAGTGTAATAAGTACTAGTTAACAATCCCAACGTGGTATCAATCACGTACGATCTAACTATAATTGCATGCACTTTGCAGCAAGTGACGGCGAAAGTTCTCTTTGGCAGCGTGACGGCGATCAATGACCTCAAGCAGCAGAAGACCGGCCGGGACGATCGGCGGACGCACTAGCGAGCTCTTGTGGCAGGTCGGGTGACTAACTAGTTTACGATCAACCTCATAGATGGCGCTTTGATAAAAGAGATTTTACAGGCAGGCTTAGTTGCTAGTTTAAGAATTAGTCACTAGATGACGCAGATTAAAATTTTATATAATATTTTGATTAATCAATAACTATTATCTTTTATGGGTATGATATAATAAAAAAATATTAGAAGACATATGTAAACAAATTATTATGTTGTAATTTATATTTATTGAGATGTATTTTTGAGTGTTTTTCATTCATTTAAATAGTGGTTAAGCTGTTGAAATACTAGTGGGTACATATTTAATATAAAATCACTATTAATTTCAGATAATGATTGTGATAAGAAAACATGGACGCTAAGGTGTGATCTCGGGAGACAGAGTTATATTGTTTATAAAAATATATTTTTGTATTAATTGATAGTTTTAGTTCAAATACTCCAATATTATACAAAATAAAATAATTATATTAGTTACTTGGTCGTTTGACTTTAGACTTTAAAAATTCCCTTTTAATGTAATTAAGAAATTATTCAATGGATATCACGTTGTAGAATTATGTAAGATTTTTGAACGGAACTCATCAAATAGCGTTTGTATGTCAGTTCTTTTTAAAACTAAATATAGTGTAAAAAAAATAGTAATAAATAATTTAAAGCGAAAATATAATATACAAATACAATAAACAGCAAACATTTAAATGGTTTTATAGTACAATTTATATATAAATATACATCTTCTATATATATAAAAATGGATTGCTGTTCCTTAGTCTCGCTAAAACTCGAGAACAGCTGAACGGATTTATGTTATCTTAGTCTTGAAATGTTCGTGGAGGTTCAGGGAAAGTATAAAAGCCTAAAAAAAAATGATTCATTACTGGGAAAACCATAAAAACAGCCCTTTTCTCTTTCCCATACAAACGTTTTTTTTTGACATTAGATTTGACAACTAACTAATATGTCAATAATTCTGTCGCACTTCAAAACACGGCGATTTATGGCTTTAATAGGTAAACTCCAAAAATATAAATAAAAAAACGTAATAGATATTTCTTGATTATAAGGCGATACGAAGTTCGCCGGGTCTTCTAGTCTAATATATAAAATTTCCATGTCACAATGTTAATTACGAGTACTATACTCCTCTGAAACGGTTTTACCGATTTTTACCAATTTTTATATGCGTATTCAGTAGATCTGAGAATCAGCTACTATCTATTTATGATACCCCTGTGTGATAAGGGTTATTCACCCCGAAATTTAGATTTTTTTATTTTTGGACGAAATTTTTTGTTTTTACATTTATTATGTGCCATTAAAAATACGAACATTTTTTTCACAGAACTCCTGTTTTTTATATTTCAAAACATCGCTTGCTGGGTCAGCTAGTATATAAAAATTAACATTTTGCAATGTTGAATATAATAAAGTATCATATAATTCTATCTCAGGCAATTAATAACAGCTTATAATGACTAAAATATCAATTATTATGCTAAATTATTATCAAGCAATGAATGCAACGAACTAGTTTCAGGTCAATAATTTAATTAATATTCAACGAGCAGATACAGAGTATCGTCACTAGTCAATGTGGGTTAAAGGATTATGACACCGTAGCCTTATGGTGTCCACGAGGTTACGTTAAAACGTGACGTATTTACGTAACACTACACAAACTACGTGATATATACGTGACATTCACGTCATATAAGATTTGATGGTTCAATTACAATAGGAATCGATGTTCGTATTAGTAATTATTTAAAAAATAAAGTTATAACAACATATTTTTGGCAATACAATGATCGAGTTATATAATATTTATATTTGTGTACAACTTTATACTGAGACAAAACCTCTCATCATTCAATGTATTCACCGTGCGTGTGCCGGGTCCATCGTTGCAGGGAGAGGGGCTTCAACAGTGCCTGGGACTTGCGACCAAGGCGTAGGTTTAAGGGGTCCCTATTTAACGCGCGTTAAACGCTCACCTCCACCTTCCAAGCTCCTCTCTCTAGCTAACCAAATTTGAAAAGAATACAAATAACATATCATCACGTGTTGTAAATTCTAAAAGAAGAAATTTTGTTAAAATAATAATATCTTTTAAGATATTACTTACTGAGACGTAATAATTACAGCAAAAAAGACGAAAAAAATAGAGTAAATCAACAAAATCTGGGAATTCTATTATATTTTTAATTAATATCTATCAGCTATATATCCTACAGGCTTTTTTCATTGATACATACGTAAATAGATCTCGATTGAATTTCTTGCATGCATCAAATATGAAGCGAGCCGACAAACAAAAAACATCAATACAATGAAATGTTTTTGCTCTTTCGCAAGGTCTTTCACCGATGAACGAAATCGTTGCTGTCCGGTCTGAGATTCTTCTAATAATTATACGCCTCTGACGACTGGGAAGCTATCACACCGTATGTTATTATAAACATATAAAAAAACAACGTATTTATTATTTTATTAATAAGAAATATATTATATATTAATCATATATTCCTTCATTTTATTAGATCCTTATTATTTTGCTGGTTAAGGACTAAAATTTTTACGTCATTTCAAACATACGAAACCTGAGAGGACAAGTTAATCTATTAAGAAAAATTCTAACAAGCTTACACAGAACTCGTTTGCAGAAATAAAAAAATATTTATATATGTTTATATTAAACGTGTTATATCAATGATCGGTGTGCAGGGCGGTCGAGAGATTATTTCGCTGCAAAACAACTGTGGTCATCGCTCGGAGCAAGGTCTCCTAACTGTACTCTCAGCTCCTCTTATGTAACCAGGTAGTACCATTTCACCCGCCCTGGACAGCACTCGATATAACATAAAGCAACAAATAAAAAGGAACCAAATTTATTACATCAAACCAGTTTTTTACGGGATCAGTGACTTTATTCGCCAGTACTTATCCTTATTTGGCAGTGGAAGCAATTTAAAGCGGTATCCGTATTCAAATTATTTTTGAATTCATTTAACTTAAACGGTGATGTTCTAGCAGCATGGATAGATACAGGTCAGTGAAAAAATATTTTTATGAAAGTATTAATAATAATTGTAAAGTTCATAGCACTTTGGAAATTATGTAATACTTGTAACATTTCATTTACTTATACATTTCTTGACTAGCGTCTGTCACGCAATAGACACATAAATAATATTTGATTTGAGCTTTCTCTGTTTATAAAAGAAAGTCTTCATGTATAAATTAAGTGTAGAACATCTTAAATTTACAAAAAGAGTTATACCTTTCTATTCAATTTCTTAGTCTCAACAAAACTTGTATGTCCTCAAGTAATACTTATACAGTTTCTTGACTTCTATGCCTTATGTTTATTTTACTAAATTATTTTACTAAATACGCAAATTCGTTTTCTACCATTAGGTATAAAAACATCATTATAGTCTTGTCTATATTAATTGCTGCTGATTGCAAAACAACCAACAACAAATCCGATGTTGAGAACACAACACACAACTGTCCCTTCACAAGAATCATTGAAGACATATTCAATACTAAAAGAAGTCCATCAAATGCACCATACTGGAAGGAGAGAGACACCGAGTTGTTAGTAAACGCGACAAGCTTCTTTGAAACTAACCAAAACATAAGCAAATCCATTCAAGAAGAGCTAGTCAATGACATAATAGCTTCTATCAAAAGAATAAAAGCTAATCTATCCATATCCGATAACAAGCTAAATGAAGCGATAATTATAGCACCAGAACATAATGAAAACAATCATAATATGAACAAAAAAGTAACTCAAATAAAGAGTGGTATAGAAGACAAAACTGATATACAAATGTCCGAACCAAAACAAAATAAAGAACAAAGGATTACAAAGCAAACAGAGAAACCCGACAGAAATTCCTTTGTCGAAGTATTAACTATAGAACCTAACAACACAAAGTCAAATACGTATTCTATTTTAGACGTCCTAAAAAATCTAATGCCCAAACTAAACGCATCTATATCAAAAGATCTTCAGAGCATCACCATTATAGAGAAAAATCAAAACAAAAATCTTTCTGTATCCGAAACGAAAAATGTATCGACCATAGTCATAAAGTACTGCGACAAGGATAACTTGACGCAGACCATTAACACGGAAGACGAGAAAAAAGAAGACGTAAAATCATTGATTGGACACGATTCAGCGACAGATGATGATGATGATGATGAAGAGGATTACGAAGAAATAGCTGATGATAAGAGCTATAACAGCAGTCTCACCGAAAGCAGGAGAGATATATTGGAAGCTGCTAAATATGGAATGGAAAAAATGCACGAATTGTATGGTGTGTTAGAACCAAAACTATATTCTATGGGTGAGTTTAAAATTAACATTATGACGTCAACAGACACGCAATTGACTTCACAGTATTAACATTAAAATTTATAATTAATACATTACATATAATAATTTTATATCTTTTATGGTTATGAACGAGAGTAATGATATCTCATTATACATATTATAATGAGATCTAAGACGTTCGAGAAGTTTTTTTTTAAACGATTCTAATGTTTTTGGGATTATTATGCGAATTTTACATTTTTTTAAAACTACATACTCCCGACACAACGTTTCGGTTACTTTGCAACAACCTTTCATAGGCAGACATGTCGTCTATAATAAAATATGTAAGGTAATCCGAAAACTATCAGCTTCATTTAAGAGTAATATTATTTCATGTATTATATAAAGGCTTTACGTAGATAGGCAATTTCTAACCAAAAATTTTTAATCAATCTTTCATAAAAAATCAAATCGAAAAGCAATGCCATATATATTGGTAATAAATAAATTTAAACACCAGGTCTTGTGTTGGATGAAAAGGACCCAGCGCGTTACGTGGCCGCCTTTAATGCACCATCAGAAAACGCTGACAATTACGCCAAGTATGGATACGCTTCACTCCAGGCATCAGCGAGGTTTAGAGAACTAGCCAGGTGAGGACTTAAAATATGATAAAGAAATCGATAACGCAGAAATACTATGGATAAACTATTAGAAAATTTGGTTAGGTAGAGAGAGGAGCTTGGACAGTGAAGGTGAGCGTTTAACGCGCGTTAGATAAACCTTAAACCTACACCTGGGTCGCAAGTCCCAGGCACTATTGAAGCTCCTCTCCCTGTAACGATAGACCTGACACCCGTACGTTGAATCCATTCAATGCTAAGAGGTTTCATCTCATTAACATTAAAACATCATTGCCATTTCCGGAACGTTTCGCAACATCCTAAGACCTAGAAGACAGGAAAACAGCATAAAGTTGTTCAAACATCTAGGTCATGTTGTCATTAAATGTCATCAAGTTACATACACTTAAAAAGGTTAACTAGAAGAACATAATTATATTATAGAAAAAATTCACAAGCAAATTTTATTATAACGCGATCTTCATAATTTTTTATATTTTTAACTATAAATTATTAAAAAAATATCCCATCATAAAGACAATAATTTGAACATGTATTGCTTATAAATATTACCCTTTGAAATAAACCTTTTTGAAATGTTTAAGGAACAAAATACTTATATACATATTAAGCGATGCCTAAATACGATGGTACTTTACCTTGACCTTTAGTCAATTTACTTTCAAATATTCAAATGTTTTCAATGTAGGTACTTAATACTTAAAGATATGTAAGTAAGTAAGCCTACTAAAAACATGTATCTAATTGAAATGAGACTTTAATATTTTGGTTTACAATAAAATAGAATAATAAAAGTAATAAACAAGGGGTACATTATATAAATACAATACATAATGAAATATTATATATGCTTGGTATATATAAGAAATATGTGTTAGTTACACTATTTATAACTCAAGAATGACTGTAGGGATATGGTTGTAAATTGGTGGGGAGATACTCGTAGCTTTGTATACCAGGAGACAGACATAGGATATTTAATTCTATGCGATAGAAAGAAAAATCCAATATCTGGTTATTTAAAGCCTGTAAAACAGAATAGAATTTACCCGGTCAGATACATATATTATCAGAACATATATTACAAATACCTAAATTAACGCGGACGAAGTCGCGAGTAAACACTAGTTACTTATAAGATCTATCTTAAATGTAGCGAGTCAGAATCAATGAAGATAGTATGGGGAGAGTTACTTCACTATATTTGACTTTTCAACTTATTATTAAATAACATAAAATCTTATTAATTAAATAATTGATTTACACTAAAGTCTAATAAAAATTAAATAAGACTAAGCTAAGAAGTTAATTTATTTGAAAATAAATTTAAAGTTTCTTACATACACCTGACCACAGCAAAAAATTATCAAAAGAAAACTAGAATAGAAGTATTTCTATCGTTAATTTTAATTTCACGCAGCTTCAAATTAATTTGTAACGACTATAGAAAAACTATTATTGATATATAAAACAAGTTTAAAATGTACAATGAAATAAATATGTTGATGATGAAGATATGTATTTAATAAGTCTTATATTATGTGCAAATAAAATATATTTGAGGCTTTTATGAAATAGAAATTCTATAATTTCTCCATATGTATAAAGGCTATTGCTTCAATCGAATGCTAATAGTTCAGTAATTAACCAACATTTTTTTCAAGGAATCTACAATATACGAATCTCTTTAATAATGAGATCCAAGACTTTCGCGAGTATTCATTTAAATGAAACTAATATTCCAAACATCTGGAGTATGTAGATTTTAAAACAATAAAATACACGTAGTAATCCGAATGTAATTAGTTTCATTTAAATGTAATTATTAATTTCGAGTAATATTATAGTTTCGTAATTTATATATTTTATTATATATAGAGTAATTAAAGCTCTATAAATACAACAATGGCCTGTAACTCATTTCAATGCGCGATCATTCCCGTACAATGTCAAATTGCACAAGTGACACTGAATTTTAAGTTCATTTACACTCCGAACACGAAAAAATGACGTCCCATAGCAATACAGAACAGAATATTGATGTCAGTGTCAGACTTGTACAGGTTTTGACCGATATAAGACAAGAAAAACATTATATAATTAAGACTTAAATCTGTCTAGCTTTTTATCTATCTATCTTTTCACCATTTAATATGTCAGATTACTTTATTTATTATTTTTATCTTAAGTATTTGTTCTTTTAAACAATTAACAAAACCAAATGTCTCAATGTTCAGTGAGGCGTGAAATTGAAAATGTTGCATTCACAATAAGCTTATTTGATCATCAAAATCATCAAAGATGGCAACATTTTAAATTCAAATTGGAAAACGTATTATATGTACTTCATCTAGTTATTAAAATACTTTCAACATACTCGTAGAATAAAACTATTGAATTAAATAACCAAAATAACCAAATCTAATAATTATTATGTCCAACATAATATTGTCCAATGAATCATCCAATCCAATAAAATTACTTTGGACTAATGGAACCTCATATATCCGAACATTAAACATACAAAAACAAAGATCCATTATAAAACTTCACATGAAGTAAACTATAATTATGTGAATTCACTACTTCATCTTTCTTATCAGAATTAATAACATTTTCAGACTATATAACTTAATTTATTTAGAACAAAAAACATCATAAATATACCAATCTGTAACAGCTAGACTATAATTGAAGAAAATATAATATTATCAGCTACAAGCATCATTTTCAAGGCGTGATTGTTATTATTAACAAACGATCTTTATCAAGTCTCCCAAGTATTATTTTACTCAAAAATACATCATTACTATAACATTTGCTTCAAATCTGTATAAAAAGTATTAAAGACCTTCGTTAAAATCCAATTTATAACTCAAACTAATTCCTATACTATTAAATTGAGAAGAAATATGCAATTAGGACAAGACTATAGTCTCCTATTTCTAAATAGTTTTGATTCTGAACCTATATATAAAAAGACAATTAGGTATCTATTTTTACCTACAGTAGTATCCACAGTTAAAGGAAAAATTAATTAAATTAATTCTAAATGTATAATTTTAATAATAGCATTCATATCACATACAATTAAAACTACGTAAGACAAGAATTATAATTAATAATTAATGTAAAATGGTTCAATATAGTAGATAATTGTAGTACATATTATATTTTAAGTAGGAAAATATTTAATTTTTATACATTAATTTATGTATTGTTATATAAAGAGTAGTAAACAGTTTTATATAAGTCAAATACATATGTTTTAAACTTCATTACGATTGAACAACCTAATTAGTATCATTCTCATTAATCATTTTACAAAGCTCTCATTACAAATCAAAATAACTAATTTTAATTGAAATTGATACTTTAGATGAATAAAAAACGGACAAGTAAGAAATAACTTTCGTAAACAAGCAAAACCAGGCTATAAAACCTAGCGAAGATAACTCTCCCTGTCGAAAGAAAGTGCCTCCCAGCAAATATGAGTTAATAGTCACTTTGTATCGAAAGCGTAGAAAGTTCAGCCGGTTGGCACGGATGTGAGGTTTCACACAACACAAACCTTGTTTATATTTATATTGATTTCATCACCATCAGCCTATCAGAGCTGAGCAAAGGTCTCTTCTCACATGGAGAAGATTTGTGCATTACACCACGCTTGCTCAAGACGAGTTGGTGATATCAAACTTGTAATTTGAAATTACAAGTCCAGGTTTCCTCACGATGTTTTCCTTCATCTGTGAATGGTGTCTAAATACTCTTAAAAGTACATATGACTGAAAAATCACATTGGTACTTGCCAGGTTTCGAACCCGCGCCCTCAAGCATGAGGCAGGCCTTTAACCTCTAGGCCATCACGACTTGTATTGTACCTATTTTCATTTATATATTAATATACATTATATATAAAATATTTATGATTATAACACACTCGTGCTAATTAATTTTTAATTATATCGTTAAATAATTAATAACATATATAACTTTCTAGTATATTCATAATCTTATTAAGACTATTTGAAAGGCATTATTCAAGTCTGTACTTTTTTTTAAATTTCATTATTCAAACCTTTTTCCGATTCCTCAAAAATTCCATAAAATATTGTTAATAAGATTCCGAATATAATATTTATTAATATTATATTATAATATAAATATTTAATAATATTAGTAACATTGTAAGTCACTGATACATTTCCGTGTGCGGACGGCGTATAAAAACGAAAGTGGCCAGTGAAAGTTGGACCTTGCACTTGAAAGGGAAAGTCGTGGCAATAGCTCTTGTATATGACCGATAGACACACAGACGGACAAATAATATATATAATGCATATTGATAATGTATACATATTTTATTGAACAAAAACGTGAAACAATTTTTGAAACACAAATGTGTTTTATTGGTTTAATAAGATAGGCAAAATATGTGGGAATTATAAAATATTTTTAATATCATTGTAGGTCAAATACCAAATACAATACATAAATTATCTATATAAAACATTAATTTAAATGAAATAAAACAAATTATTCACTTACACATGTTGTATTTTCGAGAACATTCGACTCTATTGTAAAATAAATGAGAGCATTAAAACATATGTATACATAATCAAAAACAATACATCAATACTATCTCATACAAAATTCTTAAAATATTGTTTCTAATCGGTAAACACACAAAAAATGTTTGAAACACAATGTCGTATTACGATTACTTATAAAAAAATAATATTCAACTCTCCATTGTGTCGAGACAATGCTTCGTAATTTAATTGGAATGAAAATTATTTTTCACTGCACACTGTCTAGAAAACAATTGGAGTATTCATTAAAAACTTTAAATACTGTAGAAAAGAAAACTTATATAATTACAATAACTTATAATATTACAATTAACTTATAATATTACAATTAACAATTACTTTTTAAATTATGAATAACTAGCTGACCCGGCAAACGTTGTTTTGCCATATAAAAGGGTTTGGTGATAAAACAGT